GGCACGTGCTCTTCCAGTATCCATTGCTCGAATGGCGAACTAGCGGGTAGCATAACGACCTTGCCCTTGTTCCTGGCCGAAGGGATCGCGCTCCGCCCTCTTAGAGAGGTAGGAGTAGTTTTCGTCCCTGGCTGGGAAGTCTGGGCCTCGGCCGTAGGGAACGAGAGGCGACTGTGCACGCTCGGTTCCTTGTCGCCGAGTCGGTCGAGGACGCTTCGGCGAACAGTCTCAGGTCGTTCTCGGTGAGTAGATTCTGGCCGAGAAGCTGAGCTGCTGCTCTTATGCGTTTCTGGTCGGGAGGATGAGGATCCTTTCGTAAATTGAGGGTTCTTTTTCCTCTCTTTTTCATTTTTCCAAGTATCCTCTTCCCACTCTTCCAGTTCCCGGAAGGAAGGAAGCTTCCCACCATCATGGTCTAGCTTCCTCCGCTGATGCCGGGTATGCGGAGGAGTTCGATCACGAGGTGGTGGCATATTTTGTGCCCTCATCTTCTCCATGAGCACTGCCAGCGCTCTTGCCACCTCCTCCGAGCTGGGCCCCGTCAAAGGGGTCCTCGGCCGAGTATGGGAATGAGGGCGCACAGTCGATGGTTGGCTTTGGGGCACTGAATGTGTCCTATGATCGGACTCACCCCTGCTAGACCGAGAGTGACTCGGCCTATGATGAGAGTCATGAATTACGGGAGAAAGGGAATCCTCCCTGTATGATCCTCCCCCCGAGCTGGCACCCTTGGGAGAGTTCCGGTCCGGCGAGGGTGATGGTGTAGGGGTTTTAGGCTTTTCGCCCGCTCCTTGACGGAGGCCTTTGCTCTTGCGGTTCTTAGCCATTGCTACTAAGGTAATTGCAAGATGATCTTTGTTAGAAATTTGGCTTAAAGATTTTTGAAAGTCTTCCCCACAGACGGCGCCAAATTGTTTCGGGTGAAAACAATGGGACCTTGCCGAAGGTCTGATGAAGTGGTGAAGACTAGATTCGATCCAAGAAATGTTGGGCCGAAGGTTTCCTGCACAGTAAACACACGTAAACTAGCCTCGGGGGTGTTGCCGAGGAAGGCCCCTCCGATGCTAAAGTCAGTATAGTGCGTAGAAAGAGAACAATATGCAAGAGAATTAATTGCTTGAGGCTTTGCTTGAATGAATGTACAAATGTAATATTGATGGCTTTTATACCTCTGAATACATGGAGAAGTTGGGCCTTAGCACAATTGGCTTGCCTTGAGGACTGATCTTTGACTTTAGCACAATTGGAGAGATGAACCTTGACCTTGGGCTTTTAATTGGATCATTTAATGCCTAAGCCCAATTGGACTAAATTGGACCCAAACAGATGGTAAGAAATAAAAAGAATACATTTGTCTTTGAAAAATTAATTAAAATTACCCATACGATCAAAGACCACTACAAGAAAACGCGTTTTTAGCAATCAATATTGACGACGGGCTGCTTTAAAAATGAATTAGTCAATAAAATGAAATATTATTACCAAATGCTTTTAAAAACATTCGCTAATTACCTACCATTAAGATGATAATCAATCGCTAGCTAATTACCGATTTTTAAAAAGAATTCATTTGACATAATTTTAAAATACTCATTTGACTTAAGTACTAAACAACTCTTTCACGTAATGTTCAATATTTAAATTTTTGTAAAGACATGAAATAATAAGAAAATAATTATATTTTGGTAAAAATCTGTTCAAAATAGTTTTAGAATTTTTTTATTAAATATAATGCTAATTTAATATTGAAAATTAAAATATACCGTGCATGGCACGAGACCTAACCTAGTTATAGGATAAAGCAGGGCTTTTAAAGGAAGGATATTCCTAAGGTGTTACACTAGTGGATTGCTAAACATCGCTCGCAAATCTCCACATAAAGCCCACAAATCTATATTGAATTTACCTTATTTCCCTAAACCTAAAATAAAAAAATCTAACCCATACCCACACTCTAATCACCCGAAAATACGGCAATGTTGAGGCGGCAAGGCAAGGACTTGGCGGCCACAGCGGCGGAGGGAAGGACGGCTCACGGTGGCAGGGTTTTTTTTAAAAAAAAAAATTTTAAAAAAAAAAAACAGAAGAGGTGGGGCGCCTGGCCAGGACGCCCAGCCCCTAGTGGTGGCGTCTGCTCCGGCCGCCGGAACCAGGGGGCTGGCGTCTGACCTGGACGCCTAGCCACGGTTGTGGCGTTTTCCAGAGGCGCCACCGCCGTGGCTGGGCGTCCAGGTCAGACGCTAGCCCCCTGGTCCCGGCGGCCGGAGCAGACGCCACCACCAGGGGCTGGGCGTCCTGGCCAGGCGCCCTACCACTTTTTTTTTTTTTTTTTGTCTAATATTTTTTTTTGGAAAATCAAAATTCTTTTGTTAATGTTTAATATTTTTGTTTTATGTGTTAATGTTTTTATTTCTAATGTATATATTTTTTTAAAATCAGAATTTTTTGTGTTAATGTTTAATTAAATAAAACAAAAACTTTAAATAAAATTTAAAAAAAATTACAAAAAGTTTAAATAAAATTACAAAAAAAAAGAAAAAAATAAATAAAAAAATAACAAATTACAAAAAAAAAAAAAAAAATTACAAAAAGTAGGGGTGGCGTCTGGCCAGGACGCCACAGCCATGGTTGCGGCGTCTGGCCAGGACACCACAGCCATGGTGGCGGCGTCTGGCCAGGACGCCACAGCCATGGTGGCGGCGTCTGGCCAGGACGCCACAGCCATGGTGGCGGCGTCTGGCCAGGACGCCACAGCCATGGTGGCGACGTCCTGACCAGACGCCACCCCTACTTTTCGTAATTTTTCCCCCGGATTATCTCACTTTCCGGCGACGATGACGGCTCTTCGGTGTCCCTCGGCGATCCACTCCAACTCTACATTCTTCGTGAGAGTGAATTACGGTTTCGGTAAAAATTAGAAAAAGGGCAAAAGAGTCAAAGTAAAAATATTTGTGGGCTTTATGTGGAGATTTGCGGGCGACGTTTAACAAATCCCGTTACACTATGGTGATAACCACAACTGGTAGCGAATATATACCCATAATGAAAAAATAAAGTCAAATTAATTTCTATAACATAAATGCCTAGAAGCACCAATATTCGTATCTACCAGATACTTAGGGCAATTGAACTTCTAGTGTCCTACTTTCTTGCAATAGTAGCACTCGCTTATTAGTCTCGCCTTCGCCTTAAATTAGAAGACGCCTATGGTTATTCAAAAGTTTGGGCAACTTTCTTTCCCTATCCTTAGCTTTTTGAATCATCATAACTTCCTTCTTAGTTTTCTTAGAGATGTTTCAATTCTGTCAACATTGCCCATAATCCTATCATGCAATTCAGATAACATATTCTTAGGGCATGTTCTCTTTCGTTGAAATTCAGTTCACTTCAGTTCACTTCAGTTCAGTTCAGTTCAGTTTAGTTCAGCTCTTAATTTATGTCTAATGATATTGCTAATGATATAAAGCCAAATTTCATTCTTTTAAGCTGTTATTACAATGACGACGACGATAACAACAACAACAACAACAACAACAACAACAACAACAACAACAACAACAACAACAACAACAACAACAACAACAACAACAACAACAACAACAACAACAACAATTATAATAATAATAATAATAATATAATAATAATAATATAATAATAATAATATTAATACTAATAATAATAATAATAATAATAATAATAATAATAATAATAAATAAGTAATAAATAATAACAATAATAATAATCATCAATAAATAATAATAATATAAAAATAATAATAATAATAATAATAATTTTGGGTTAGATACTAGTTAGATACATGTATTAATTAAAACATTAAAGAGAGTGGGTTAGGGTGTTGGACTGTTGGGTCGTTGCCTCTGTTAGCTTTTCGTGTTTTTTTCTTTTTTTTTTAATATTTTTTAAAAAAATTTGTTTAAATGGTTAGATACATGTAAGTGTTTTGTGTTCTTTTGTCATAATACTATTTCATTTTTAAATTTAATAGTATATGTGTTTAAAATGTTTAGAGGTTTCAAGTTTTTAATATATTTTTCATAAATTTTATAATTATATAGTATATTTTTCGTAAATATTTTAATATGTACATTTGTATATACACATATGTATAGTAATAAATAATCAATAAATAATAAAAGATCACTAATCCGTAGTTAAAAATCACTAATTAATCAGTTCACTTCATTTCAGTTCAGTCAATCAGAACATGCCCTTAGACTCGTTCATACTAAATACCATTTTAAATTGGTTATAACTATCAGGTTGTGAGTGAAGAACTATATTAGTAGCAATTGTTGGCTATAGGCAGTGGCGGACCTGGGCTTGTGCCTGGTGGGTCAAGTGACTCACCAGGGCCCAAAAACATTTTTAAGTTTTTTTTAAAAAAAAAAATAAAATAAAAAATTCTAACGTTTGAGTTAGCCCTAGCCCACTTCGCCAGTTCGCCTCTTCCTCTTCGCAAGTTCGCATCTTCCTCTTCGCCTCTTCCTCAGACCTCAGTTCCTCTTCGCTAGTTCGCTTCATCTTCCTCTTCGCATAATTTCAGGTTAGTCATCTACTCATCTACTCATCTTTCGGCTTTTTATTTATTTATTTATTTATTTAATTGTTGATATTATTTGTTAGTTGTTAGTTATGAATTATGATTTAGTAATACTAAATTTGAACCCTAAATCCCTAATTGTTCAATAATCAACTCAATTTCAGAGAATTTTGCATTATCTGAATTGTGAATTTGTGAAATGTTTGAACCCTAAATCCCTAATTGTGAATTTGAGAAATGTAAAATGTTAGTTATAAACTCAATCCCTAATTGACTAATTGTTCATAATCTACTGCTCTTCGCTAGTTTGCTCACGCCTCCAGTGCTGGCTGTGCTGCTGGCCTGTTGGCTGCTGCTCGCCTAGTCGCCTGCTCCAGCCTCCAGTGCTCTGTGCAGCTGTGCTCTGTCCTCTGCTCCAGTGCCTAGTCGCTGACTTGCTGTTTTGCTGAGTGTTGGGCATGGCCCTGCTGCAGTGCTGCTCCGCTGCTCGCCTCAATCATTCAGCGCCTGCCGCCTCCGCCTAGCAAGGTAGGTAATCATCAATTGATTCTTTTTTTTTGTGAATTTTTGATCAAATTTTCATTACTTGTCTCTTAAAATTAGTATATACGGTGAATGTCCATTGAATTTGCATTATTTGTGTAAATTGTGTTTTGACTGTTAAATTGAACTTATTAGTTTATCTGTTCATGTCATTATGTGAAATTGTGAATATGTGATGCCGGACATTGTATAACACAACAATTAAACTATTAGTGTAAGGAGGATTATAAATTTATAATTAGATTACAGTTTGGACTGGTTAGTGCTTAGTGGTGCTAGTCGCATATTCGGCTGGAAGTTCCGTATAGACTAGTGGAGATATTAGTTTGTTGATTTTAGTCTTGTCAATTTTAAGCTTTTTAATTATTAGTTAGTATTGTAATCTTGTCAATTTTCTATTTGGATGATCTTTGTAAATAATTTTCTGGGGAATATTGCTTGATTTAGTTGAATATTGCTTGATTTAGTTGAATATGAACCGTCCAACCAATTATGAATAGGGGTAATTCGTTGTTGGGGTTATTTGCATATGATTCATACTTGTGATTTCATTTGTTTTGTTAACTTTGTGTTTGATTAGGTTGTTGAATTTATATGCAGGGAAGACTCAGCTTATCAATCATTTTCTAATCAACAAGAGTTGGTATATTGTTAATTTGCCTGGATATGGGTGAGTCTCTGTAATTTTGGTTTTAATTTGGGCAATTTCTGTAATTCTTGAGTCTATTTCATGCTGGGAATATTGTATACTTGTATTGTGAATCAATTGTTATTCGTGTTTATTCCTGATCATATGCTTGAATCATATTGAAGTGCCAAAAAAGGATTGCTTTTACGCCTTGAGGCATTGCTTCAAAATTATTGACCATCCTGTAAAACATGTTGTGGACTGATATGTATTTAGGCTACATCCACTGTAGTTAATTTGGTCTCCAATCGTGTTGTTTATTTTCAAGTTTAGGAAGTAAATGTCTCCTTACATGTCATTGTGAAATTTTTTTTTACATATTTGATTATCGATTGTGACTCACCAGTCGGAAATTCCTGGGTCCGCCACTGGCTATAGGGGAACCCAAATTGTCCATGCTCTTAAAAGACCAATCATTTTGAAGACACGGTTACCAACAAATTGTTCCTTTTCCATCTTACATTCTAGAATTTCATGACGAGTCTCGAAAATCTTAATCCTAGCCTATTTTTGAAACATGGCCTTGACTTCTTGCATGATGGTATAGGCATCAATCCTTCTAAACCTCTTTTGGATGTCAGGTTCCATGGCTGCAACATCAAGCAAATAATCGGGTATAGATCGATCAGTATCTTGTTTAGCCTTGCACCTATTGACCTTAATTGCATTCTTAGCGAATTCAAGTAGGGGTATTTCAAGGATATCGTCTCTTCGTTTTCCTAGTTTATGAAGTTTTCCCCTTTTACTTATCCTTCTTAGAATGGACGAATATTAAACACATAAGAGGTGGTGCTGTTTTTGCTTGAAATTTACATTGTACATCAAGATGTACCATGCTCATGGTACACCTAGATGAAAATTCTCATTAAAAAAAGGTCAGCTTCCTAAATTTATGCTCCTTAATTGAAGGATTTTTGTTATTTCCTTTCCATAATTTTAGCTTCCTATATCCATAATTGTTCATATCAGTTTTTGAAAAAAAAAATCATCTAATTGTGTATATGTATATTTTTTTGAAATCAAGGTCATAAAGGTTGATGAAGACGACATACTTTTGGGACCTCTTCTATTGATACACATGACCAAGATAAATACTATAAAAATCATATAATGAACATCATAATAGATACACATGACCAAGATAAATACTATAAAAAAATATAAAAATATATAATTGGTTATTTAGAAGAAAAAAAATTAAAAAGAAAGAAAATATAATAAAAATATTGGAATTTGAAATTTTGACATTGAATTTCAAATTTATAAATTTGAAATTTGAAATCTTGATAAAAATTAGAGAGATTGTAGAAAACTGACTATTTTGAAATGATGTGACATTAAATACATGGTAAAAATCAATTGGTATTTATCTTTTTCCTTTTTAAAAAATTGTTTCACGAAAATTATCACATTTTTTATATTTCAATGTTATGTTCTTTTATAAAGTTGTGATGTTCATTACAAATGTAATTTATGTTCTTTCCACTTTTTTTTTATTAAACTAGTTTGATCCGCATGGTACACTTGGGTGTACCAACTAACGATTAGTTTTCGCTAGTCATCTACATGCAAAATAAGACAAAGTTCAATTTATGTTTAATTAATGCACCTAAATTAAAACCAATTGGAATTAATAGTCCACATGAATTAAGTGATTCCAAGAAACGTTTTTAATGTTTTTATTAAACCAAACCAAATCAGTGTGTAAAATAGCGTATTTTCTTAAATTATATATCCAAAGATTATTAGTAACATCCTGTGGAAGCATGATCCATTACTATTAATCGAAGGGTTTTAAGTACTTTGTTTGGAAATGCAATCCTTGAATTAATATTATTCGGGATATAAGTTTATTATGTTATGATTAATATTCTCGATATTATTTGGAACCTAAGGTTATTATGTTGTGAATAGTATAAGTGAGATATATCATGTTTGCTCATCAACACACAATAAACTAATAAGCTAGCATAAAAAAATGCATAAGAAAAATGAATTAGCATGGCTCTTAATCCTAAGTTAATGTACTTGACGGACTCTTCCTTAGACTACTCACATATCTTCATTCTTAATTTTTGTCATGGACCTTTTAATCTTAGTGCTCTTCCTTGGTTACATATACTTTACATACAATTTATTTACAGCTTAAATAAAATTACATAAATACTTAACATTACACAGACCGTAATACAGCACGATTCGCAAATCGTAATTTCTAACTTAATTAAGTCATACAATACTAGTTATTTATAGAAACATAATGCCATATAGTACATATGTTGTCATATAATAAATCACGTAACATGTTTGCTTTAACTAAAATATCGAATATTCTTAATTAAGGCAACAAATGTCATATTTTAAAGCTTGGATTAGATAACATCCCCATATTCTTCAATACCTTGTTTAAAATATCATATATTTCAATTTAGGAAGGAGATAGAATCAAATCAAACTTTAACCATAGAAGATAAATTACATTTATTCTCTATGATTATCCTAACAAACTTAAGAGATTCCATCCTAATTATTAGCCAATCATAATTTTAAATCAATTATCTTAACTAATAAATCATGGAATAATCATATTACCTAGTCAATTAACTAATTTTTGAACAAGCTAAATTATCTCCTATAAAACTTATTTTTTAAAATTATCCAAGATAATTTTTTTGTTTTATTTTTAAAAATCGAAAACCCAAGGGGTTGCTTTGCACCACCTGCAGTGGTTGGTTGAAGCCAACTATGATGGCTATTGGCGCCTCTTGACCCTGCTACATTGGTGTTAGTTATGCAACCCTTTCCCAAAGTTGTTACTTTTCTCTAGCCTAGTCACATCGTCCCCACCACCCACCTAAACCAATAACCTTTGTCACATTGTTAGCCATTGATATGCACCATCCAGTTATGGTTGCTCCCTTAAAGAATGAAACCATTTTAAGTTAATTTGATTTACAACGATCGTTGTAAAATAAATTTACTGCAAGTTCAATCAAACACAACAATTATGCCTAGTTCATAGGTTAAAATAAATTTTCCCAATTCAATTTCAATATAGGGTTCTCATAAATTCAATCAAAATTCATACAAAACAACTTTTCATGCATCCAATTAATCATAAAAAAGATAATGTGTCAAATTAATCCAATTAAACTCCTGAAACAAATTAAATAACCAATGGAATTTTTGATATTTAAAGGGCAATTTACGGCTAATATTAGGTGTAATTTAGAAATCAAATCATCATTTAATTGATTCCAAAATATTAAATCTCCATTTAATCATGCTAAGCTGTTAAATCTTTAAAGAGTATTTTGTTCCTTTTCCTCCAAAGCTCTAGTCGATTTCTTTATTTTTAATTCTTTCCTTTTGTTTTACCACCCCTAGATTCATTTCATTTAAAAAAAAATAAAATAAAAAACAAACTCAAACCATATGCCCTGAAAGGCCCAATTGCTCAAAGACATGAACCAAATAATCTCTTAGACATCTCTAATACGATTAAATGATTAATTAGACCAACCTAATATTAATCACATTCATTCATTATCCAATTCTCATAATCTTACTCGCCATTAACCTTCTCAAAAGCAACGCTTAATTACCCCGCCAATCCGCCATAATTACCACTCCGTCGTTACAATTACAAAATTTTCTTAAAAAAAAAAAAAAAAAATCTACCCGTAAATTTTCCCTTTATTGTTTCCCCTTTAAAAAATAACATTAAATTCCATCAAATTTGAACACACACAAAAAAAAACCGACTTTTCTTTTCTTTTCATCTTCCCTCTTATTCAATATTTTCTGCTGATCTAAAAAATCAATTCAATTCAACTCCAATTGACTTTCTCTCTCCTCTTTCTTCCACTTTCTCTCTCTTCCATGCAAAAATCTTCTGCCATGGATGTACAAGTCAAGCAAGAATACGAAGTTCTCTTCCAACGAATGCGAGACAGAGCCGTCAATGCTGCTACTCCTTCCTCGGCGCCTGCTCCCGTCATTGATCTCAGCGATGACGATGACGCCGGCGATGTTGGTGCCGAGAAAAGAGCTTTGAGTTCCTCTAATGACGGTTTTCCGGCGAAAAAGCAGAAGGTTGGTGATGGTTCTCTTCCGCCGGGGTTTCTCGATCCCATTCCGCCGTTGCCGGAGTCTTCTTTGCTACTTCCGCCGCCGTTAGCGGCGGTTCCGGTGAGCTCGCAGGGGAATAAGCAGTTTTGGAAGGCGGGTGATTATGAGGGTGCTCCTTGTGCTAAGTGGGATAATAATACAGGTTTTTTTTTCCTTCTGGGTTTGATTTAATTTTTTGTTTTTTTTTTCCAGCTGGTTTGTTTTTAGGTTTTTTGTTTCTTGGTGTTGTGTGATTTTTGTTGAATTTAAGTAAATGTGTGTGAAATTCGTTGCTTGAAGATTTAGAATGTATTTAATTGAAAGTTGATCCTTGTATTATAATGGGTTTTTGTTGGAAGTAACTGGGTTTATGGGAAGTTGAGTTGGTTGGTATTTTGATTTCAAGTAACTGGGTTTTTGTTTTTAATGGCGCGAGAATAATTTTTGTAGTGGTTTAATGAGGATTTGGATGGTAAATTGTGATTTTTGTAGTGATATATTGTAGATTGATTGTTTAGTCTGTGAGATTTTTTCATGAAGTGTGGAGGGTTTCGTTGCAAATTGAGTTTCTCTTATGGAACTGGGGAGGGTTTTCGTGGCGAAAGGAGAGAGATAATAATCATAATATGGTTTTGTGATTTATTAATACTAGTTTGGAAGATTGAAAACTTGGAAATAAGTGATTCTTTTTGGGCACTGAATGCTTGTTGAATCATACATCTAATTATAGACAATTTATTATGGTTAATTTCGTGGGGTTAATAGAGAGGTCTTGCTTTGATCATGAATTCTGGTAATTCATCTGAAGATTAAATGATTATTTTTCTCTAGAGGGGAATTTTTTTTTTATTATTTTTTTAATATTAAGATGGTTCGTACACCCTATGTGGTTATGTGTGCCTTTTGATGTTTCATAATGGTGTTGGGTTGGTTTCTAAGAAAAGCAGATTGCTGCTTAAAATTTGAATTTGTATACAGAAGGAAGTTCTAATTGGTTATAGCCTCTATACTCAATAGCCATATGCTCAACAAAAGCTCAAGTTCCTCCTATGTTAATTGACAGAACAAAGAACCCTTAAAGGAGAGTATATTTTATGGATTATAGAGGACATACATTGATGGAGTAAGGGGACAAAACCAATGCCCTTCACATTAATGGAGAACATTTATGGATTATTGAGTTACCTGATTGTTCCATTAGACAACTAAATTGTCATGATAGACCTTTACATTTGTAATTTGAACTTTATGCTCTTTTTCTTTCAATTCAGTGCTTTTTGTGATCACTTTTGTCTGGTTTTACAAGTAATTAAAACCTTCTCTGTAATTTAACTGCTAATCAATCATTAGCAGGATACGTGTTTTAATTACTTTTAATCATTTTGCAGGTGGAATGGATCATGTTAGGGTTCACCCCAAGTTTCTGCATTCTAATGCCACAAGTCATAAGTGGGCTCTTGGAGGTAAGAACATTCTATATGTTTTATCTGTGGAAGTCCTCTTTGCATAATCTCTAAATGTTTGTATTATTAATTTTCTCAATCCTCTCTTCTTTTGTTTATTTAATGAGATTATCGCATTCACTTTTCTGTGTAGCTTTTGCGGAGCTGTTGGACAATTCATTGGATGAGGTACTTGGCCTCTTTGTGTATGATTAACTATTGAATACATGTCCTATTCAGAGTGTCTACTTTGTCTGCAATGACTAAGGTTCTGATTTTTTTTACTGTTAGGTCTGCAATGGAGCAACATTTGTCAACGTAGATATGCTTATAAACAAGAAAGATGGGAATCAAATGTTGCTGATTGAAGGTACTGATTGAACTATTGAAGTGGTAGCATGCCTCTTTGATGCAGTATTGTTATAGGCATTCATGCACTTTCATTTCTATTCATTATTCACTTCATTTTCTAACTTCGAATCTATTTGGCCATCATATGCCTCTTACAATGATTAATGAAATCTAATTGGAACTTCTGGGTATAAAATTATCACGACCTCATCTTTTTATGATGAATGATGGCTTTTAGTTGATATACTGAATTATTATGATGTGCTTTCAACATTATAGTCAATGTGGCTGTTAAATGCTGAATTGCTATGGACTTAACTATCTCAAACTTCTTCTGAGTTTGTTGGTAACCTTTCATATAGATAATGGTGGTGGGATGGATCCTGATAAAATGCGTCAATGTATGTCCTTGGGGTACTCTGCAAAGAGCAAATTGGCGAATACAATTGGGCAATGTAAGTGAACTTTGCTGTATATATGTTTGTTTTCAGTAAGTGTCTGGCTTTCCTGTTGTGTTAGACTGTTGACATGTTCTTATCTGTTATCTTTCAAGATGGCAATGGTTTCAAGACAAGTACTATGAGGCTTGGAGCTGATGTTATTGTCTTCTCACGCAGCTGTGGAAAAGATGGTAAAAGGTTTGTTTGAAAATTGCAATTTTTTCTAGTAGTGATTTTTGTTTTTCTGTGTCACAGTTTGGATTCCCTTATAGATTTTCTACGGAATTTCATCTACCAGGACATATGTTGAGCCACTAAGTTACTAAGATTGACTTTATCCATTAAGATATGCTTAAGTCTTAAAACTTAGGTTTGACAATAAGCATTTTATTGCTTTGTCTCTAATTTTAATGCAGAAATGCAGAAATTATGTTTCATTATGTACACATGGGGATGCTTGTCCTACACAAATATATCTATTGATTTTCATATAATTTTCGTACTAATTATGCTTCATATGGAACTTGTAGTTGTCTTTCAATTTCATCACTTTTAGACAAGCCACTTGTGAACAACTTGTAAAAATGATGAAAACTGTTTTCAAGTGCAAGGTGAAGAGTGAAGGCTTTAGAAATGCCTATCTAATTAGGTCTTTCTCATGAGCATTTGATTGAGATATACTATTTTTTTGTTGCAACTGTTCTGTATCTCATTTATGATAGCATAATATATCAACCAAGCATTTCCTGTGTACCCTATGTGCATAGATTTGGTTTAGGTTTTAATGATGAATCTTACAACAACCTCCCTTAATTCTGCAAATTGGAAAAACTAAGTAAATTACTTATCTGATCCGGAAACCCCATGTGCACATATATGGTGTAGGTTTTAATGATGAATCTCACAACAACATCCCTTATTTCTGCAATTGGAAAAACTAAGTAAATTCAATCATCTGATCTGGAATTAAAGTTCCTGATTCTTACACTTGTTTTATTGTAAAAAATATAGTTTTAGAGAGATGACTGATGGACTAATATGATGAATGAATGGGAAAACATAGAAATTTGATTCAAGAGGGTATGAAACTATCCAGTAAGCAGAATTCCTGTTGAGATGGTCATCTTGTGGCAGTTTCTTGTTTTTGGGAAACTCAGTCTGATTCTTGTACTAAATGATAAACCTTGTATTCTGCACACACCCAAGTCTAGTGCAAACTGAGGAGATTAGAATGGTGTTGAAATTCGATTTTTTTTCATTCTATTTTATTTTTATTATTTATTTATTATTATTTTTTTGACGAATTGTGTGCTCGAATTATGTCTTGATTTCCTACATATTCCTGAAGATTTTGACATTGCCTCTTCTGACCAACTAGACTGGACAATAAGGATCATGTTGCGATTTAACCAATTGCTACAATAGGGGCAGAAAGGCTTTTCTTGTTGGTCATTGTCTTTTACATTTAACATTCTCTTGTTTGAGCGTGTAAGTATTTATAGTTTCCATCATCTGTATGTCAAATATCTAATAATTTCTGATTTTATGTTCTTGTACATTTCAGCATCACACAAAGCATTGGGTTGCTGTCGTACACATTTTTGAGAAGCACAGGAAAGGAAGACATCGTAGTTCCCATTGTAATGTTGACATACTCTTTCATGTTTTGTTATGTCTAGCATATATATGTTGCTCTTTACTTTAAACATGAAGAATAATATAAGGAAACCACTTCTAAATCTATTGCCTCTATCTCCATTCCCCTTAAGAATGCATTTAATCAATAAATGGATTTTGGTTTATGGTATAATTGTATATTCTTTGAGGGGCCATTTGACCCAACATATAATCAAATAATCAAAGTATCAGTTGCTTTGGTTTCAATAACTTGTTTTGTAAGCTGAGACCTGATTATGTAGTTGTTGTGGTTCATTGTTCCCTTGTTAGTTCTGAATAACTTGAAATATGCCGTTGACTTTAATCCAGGGTTGATGCTATATGTTATCAATATATAGTTTCTGTTTGTGTGTTTTCTGATAATATATCTTTTGCACTTTTCTAATCCTGTCTACTTTGCTGTTGGATTCAAAGCTTGACTATGAAATGAGAGAGAGGGAATGGCAGAAGATGATGCGGTCCTCTGCTGATGATTGGACAAGAAATGTTGATACAATGATAAACTGGTCACCGTATTCAAGTGAAACTGAACTCCTCCAACAGGTAATTATTCACTTTTTAGCTGTTGCAAGGTGAATAGTTGGTGGCCTTCTTGTATTCTGAATTTTGGCTTTGCTTTTTGAGCTCTCATTCTTCTTGTAAATGGAATTGAGGGTACAGACTACAGAGCCACAGAGCAGTTTATATCCTCATAGACTCATAATAAAGCATGATATATTTCAAGTATAAAGCTGTAGTTTAATATCTTGTGTTTTCTATCATTTTTATTTCAGACTAACTTTAATCCCTGGCTGTCCGTTAAAATTTTCTAGTTTACCTTAATTCTTAAGGTTCCATGGTTTTTGTGTGTTATGAATTTTAAATTTTACATCCTAAACAGCCACTTTTTAAAAAATGACCTTGCACTGCTGCAGTTTAATTTAATGAAAGACCATGGTACACGTATAATCATATACAACCTCTGGGAGGATGATCAAGGACTACTGGAACTTGACTTCAACTCTGATCCACATGTAAGTTTGTCATTTATTGAACTCTTTATTTCCCTTGTATTTTGTGCTATTGTCTTTCTTTTTCCTACTTGTAAACAAATATTGACGATGGGAAATGACAGGATATTCAAATTAGGGGTGTCAACAGAGATGAGAAGAGCGTAGAAATGGCAAAGGAATACCCAAATTCTAAACATTTTTTGACTTACAGGCACTCATTAAGGGTAATTGTTACTGCTTTTGATATTTATTTGTGTAATGCTAAAGGTTTCAATTACTTGGCAAATCAATGCGAGTTGCTTCATATTATTTCCAACTTTTTGGATGAATATCTCAGTGACTACTGTAGACTAGGAAGCACGGAGTTTTGAATATGTTTGTATTGTTTCGAGTGAAAGCCTGGACATGGAAGTTAATTGTTAGATAGTTGAAGTGATGATAGATAAAAATTTATTCATTTTCTCTGTTACTGCTAATAGTTTTGTTTTTTATGTTCCTCCTCCCACAAGAGACATAAATTTTTGAATGAATGCTTTTGATATGGCGGTTTTTCAATTATTCCGAGAGGGGGGGAGGTGCTTCTTGTCTTCAGCTCTTTTTTTGAATACATAGATCAACTCTGTGTACATGGTTCTCTAGATTTTCGCTGTTGCTTTCCCTTCTATTTGATTAATTTTGCAAATTGTGGAGGTCTGACTGTCTGTGGAGTGAGGACATTAGTATTGTTTTAGCAGTGTCCCTTTCTAACTATACTCCTGCTTTTCAACCTTCAGAGTTATGCATCAATTCTATATCTCAGACTTCCACCAAGATACCGCATGATTATCCGAGGAAAAGATGTTGAGCACCACAACGTAGTGAACGACATGATGATGAGCCAGGAGGTTACGTACCGTCCCCAGCCTGGTGCTGATGGTGTTCCTAGGAATGCAGATGTAATTATTCACTATCTAATGTTCATCTTTAATTACCTTTATTGCTATTTTGCTCATCGCCTCTTGTGTGTCTAATTGTAGATGGTTGCTATTGTCACTATTGGATTTGTAAAAGACGCAACTGCTCATATTGATGTTCAAGGATTTAATGTTTATCATAAGAATCGTCTAATAAAGGTTAGTTACATACTTATGTCTTTTAGTGTTACCTACTAGTGTTTTCTTATGTATGGTATTCATTCTAACCATGGAGACATTATTCGTAACATCTCCCCTCAATTTTGTCGCTTGATACCTCACTTTCATGATTCTGATTTTCACATGTTATGTGGATACTACATAAACACTTTGCATCTGATATGATCTTTCTCTTGGATACTTTTGCTGCATTAGCCTTTCTGGAGGGTCTGGAGTGCTGCTGGAAGTGATGGCCGAGGTGTCATAGGTGCTGCTTTTTTGCTTTCATTACTCCTTTATGTTGAATCTAGTTCAGCATTCTGAGCCAAAATATGTATTACAGGTGTGCTAGAAGCAAACTTTGTTGAGCCAGCTCATGATAAGCAGGGGTTTGAGCGCACTACAGTTCTTGCCAGACTGGAAAATAAACTGGTGCAAATGCAGAAAAACTATTGGTTCGTTATCTCACCCAACTCTTATTTCTGCTTTATTATATTCTTCACAAGATCTAAACGTTGTTATTTTTCTTTGTTTAGGCGAACTTACTGTCATAAGATTGGCTATGCACCTAGAATCAACAAGAAACAAATAGAAGCTGGAGAAAGAGGTATATAATTATCATTAATGACTGAATGAAAGTTAACTTGTGGTGATTATAAGTGGGTTGCTATTTTTCTGTTACTTCTTGACTAGAGTAAAAAAAATTACAATTTTTAAGTGATCAATCATTTCCAAACTTATTTTGTTAATTGGTGTACCAATGTATGCAAAAGAATTATCTCTGGTGAGGAGGGGCTCTTAATGTCTCCTTTTTTTTACTATCTAAAAAAAAACCATTATAAATAATAAGATATCAATCTGTAATAGACTAACTTTGAGGGGTAGTATAGGTATTCTAGTTTTATTAGTTTATTAGGGCTGATAGTCCTTAGTATAAATAGGGAGGTAAGGGAAGGAAATCGAGAGGCAGAAATTTGGTATGAACCTTTTGGAGAGTTATGGCCTAAAGCCATTTTGGAGAGTTGTGAGCTAAACTCACTAACGAAGATTCATAGCCTTAAGCTATTAAATTATTGTTTGTAACCCTTTCACTATTATCAATCAATTTAAAGCTTTCACCTTTATTAATTTGCTATTTACAATCCGAAATCAGTGTTGTTACACTGACTTTGCTGGGTGACCGAACTCAGTTCGTTGCACTTGGTACAAGGTGGAACTTTAGGGGGCCAGTATTGTAATAGACTAACTTTGAGGGGTAGTATAGGTATTCTAGTTTTATTAGTTTATTAGGGTAGGTAGTCCTTAGTATAAATAGGGAGGTAAGGGAAGGAAATCGAGAAGCAGAAAATTGTAAGAACATTTTGGAGAGTTATGGCCTAAAGCCATTGTTATCCCTACCCAAGCCTTTGAGCTATCAATCAAACAATTCAACCTTTTTTTCAATCTTAGTTCGTACCACGTAGTCCGTTGCACAATATGCATCCAAAGCTGACAATATTAGATTTCCTGTTTTAAATTTTCAAATTACTCCCTCCGTTTCGCATTAATTGCAACACTAGGCTTGGCTTATAGTTTAAGGAAATTATAGGTTAGGCTTATAGGCTTATAATATAAAGTATTGTTAGTAAAAGATAGAAATAATAATAATAAAAAAAAAGTAGTGTGGGTGGGGTTGGTAGGAAAGAGAATTAATAAAATATTTGTAAAAGTGGGGTTAGTGGGAGAGTGAAATTATAAAATAATGGTGGGTCATTTCCAAATATAGTAGTGTTGCAACTAATATGAAACGGCCTAAAATAGAAAGTGTTGCAACTAATGCGAAACGGAGGGATTTAGGTATAACCTATATTTAAAATCTAAATTATTTAATTCAATGGATGCAGTAAGGAGATAATGTAGCAAACATTTATGTACTATTTTGCCCCCCCCCCCCCCACCCCCCCCAAAAAAAAAAAAAAAAAAAATTGAAATAATATGAGCTGGAATTTTTATCTTAGGAAAAGGAGTTTGAGTTTTAATATATGTTTTTCATATTCTGAACCGCCAATGGCAGACTCTTCTCCTGATTACACTCCATCGTCATCACGTGCTAAAAGCAAAGGGAGAGGCGTGGATTATGATAAGCTATATTCCCCTCGTACATCTGACAAGCATGGAGGGAATACAGTGGGAAAATATAACAAATATGGAAATGGTCATACATCTGACAAGACTGGAGAGAAAACAGCGACAAAACATATATCAGTGAATGAGAAATATGGAAATGGGCAATCATCTGATAAAAATGCAGAGAAAACTTCGGGAAAACATGTATCAGTGAATGAGAAATATGGTAATGCCCGCACTGCCAGAGATAGAGAAAGTTCTGAAGAGCCATCATCACCGTCTTTGGAAGATACTTCTGAAAATTATGAGCTACCTAGGGTTTTAAGGAAGAGAGTTAATGAAACTAGTCATTCAACATTGAAGACTCCTGAAACTAGTCCTTCGACATTGAAGACTCCTGAAACTAGTCCTTCAACATTGAAGACTCCTGTCAAAGACCAGTCGGACAAAGACCAGACAGGAAAAGCTTTTCCTTCCAGAACAACGAGCTGTGCAGTACAACAGGTATTTTTACATTTCTGTCAGTATATAATCGATTTGTGCACAGTTCTATTAGATGCATGCTCACTTAGGAAGAAATAGTTATTGCATGAGCAGATGATTCTTCATGTCAAAAGTAGGCTGTGGCTATGAAGTCATATATGAAAATGGATCAAAGACAGTTTAGCGTGAAAATTTTATCTATCGAGTTTTCTTTTTTGAAATGTTTCTGTTTTTACCTAAATGAGGGCGAAAATGGTCTGTCCATGTGCGGTTTGAAAAGGCAAGGTCTTCCCTAGATATCTATCTGGAGTTGGAGCTCTGACTGAAGAATTCTTGAATTCTAAAATTGAGGCATGTCTGAATTGAGTGCTGTTTTACTCAAATATTTGAAAGTGTAATCAAATTTGAAGTATTTACAATGCAAATGTTGCGTTGATGAAATTCATGGGCTAGGTTGGTAAAGTTAAGGTGGTCACATTAGAGTGAGGTTTGGGTTTCCTTGTTGTCATCATGCCTGCTAGATATCTGAAAGCTAAATTTAATTCAGAGGGTTTCCTTGTTTGGCGTCACAGGATGAGTTTCTAATGAGTTTCCATCTTTCTTTTTTAAATTACTTTTGACAGGAAAAAAGTGCTAATGGTGCTATGGATACCACATCTTCCTCTGATTTGCATGTTTTGGTTCAGTCAGAAGAGGAGAAAGAAAGATTGCAAGCTTTGGATATGCTGAAGGAGGAGAATCGTATATTGAAAGAGAAGTTGCAAGTTTTGGATGAGTTGAAAGAGGAGAATCGTGTATTGAAAGGAAGGTAGGAAAGTTGGACTGAGCTTGATTCTGATTCCATACCATCTGTGCTCACTAATTTTTGCATCAAGCTGTAATGTTGGTGATGAAGCAAGTGAAGAACAGTTTGAGTCTAAAGTTGAGACACGCAATAGGATAGAGGATCTTTACTGATATACTATGACATGTGGCATAATGGCATTCAGATACATTTTTTTATGCTTACATTTTTGTGCTTTTTTATTAGGTTGGAGGAAAACAATGGGGAGAAGCTGAATGCTTTGCAACGTGACTTGCAATTTGAAAGAGGCAAATGCAAATCACTTGAGACAAAGGTAGAATCTGTTATACCAACTAGTCACTGCGACCTAATTTCCCAACTCTAGCTGTTGGAATTCGATTTATCTATTCTTATTTTCTAAATTGTTTCTTGCAACTCATTGACTCCTTACTGTATCAACCTCCTTTTCTGAATTCTCCTTTCTGTACTTTGATCTTGAATCCTTTCTGAATCAGATGGTTGTAGCCTTGCATGAATCTATGCTTTGCCCCACTTTTGTTCTTGTGACATATGCTAGGTTTCTTCCTAATTGGTAACATGATTATAGTAACAAATCTCAAACCATGCAATAAAAATAACAGTTCCTCTTTTATAGCTCCCTTTTGTGAATGGACACGATGGTTATTTTATTAGATGCGTTGTCTTATTTGTAACTGTGGAATGTCTTTTTTTAAAATAATTTTTCCCTCAATTTTGAATTCTATGACTAACAGCTCCATGAAGCGGAATGTAAAATTGAGGAGCTCAACAAGGAGCAGGAGAGTCTAATTGACATTTTCTCAGAGGAGAGAGACAGACGAGATGTTGAGGAGGAAAATCTGAGAAAAAGACTAAGGGTTTGTTCTTTCACTAATAGATTTATGTCATTGCTTTTTTTACAGCATAAAAATAACGGTGTTTTATCTGTTCATTTTATCCTTTTGCCAAGCAGGATGCATCCAACACAATTGAAGAGTTGCGCGGGAGAGTGATGCAACTTGACAACCTGAATTCGTCTAATGGAAGGCGTTAGTGTATAGGCTGCAATCACGCAATAGCGTGAGGGAGCTGTAGATATGTCCTTGTTGCAACCTTTATTCAGCAATGGCAGTGTACATGGTGGGACTTAGAAGATATGTGTATCACTAATCATCTGGCATGTAAATTTTAGTAGAGTATATCAGCGTCATTCTTTGTTGTTCTTGCTTACAAACTTGTTCAAGTGTGGTATTAGGTGGGCAAGTGCCTGAGTTGGGAGGTTTTGTAGGCTTGTATTATACGAGTCCTTTTTTTCTATTTGGCAGTGTGAAAGGAAGTACTGGGCAGGGACAGCTCTTCTCTAGCACAGCTGCATGCCTTGGGCATCAGCAAAACTGATAATTCAGTGAAACCACGATCATTGTTATCTGTAGTTATAACACCCAGAAGATAGTCTCTACACCATCTACCAGTTACTGTCTGCTTCTTTTCAAACTCTGGACTGGACTCCTAAGTTTTGGATTTTCAACTGAACCAAAGAAACAAAGGATTCGAATCTGTGGAGAGAGCTGAGGCCATTCACTTAAATGGTGACTTTGTATTGCATCGATCCTTTAGGATTGAATAGCGCACTAATCCTTTGCTCATAGAAAGGTGAATAATTATACTGAATGTATGGAACTGTAATTGGATAAATTCCAATAATGTTAGTCTTGATGAATGACAGAAATTTTCCAGAAGAACGTGTTAGGAATAACTTGATAACTTGATGATTGACATTGTTACGCACGTAGATGGGCAATAAGAATATCTTCAGAGTCCTTTGATGTTTTATTTTACAGATCCTTTTGCCATAGACATAATTAACCTTGTCGAAATTAAGAGGTAAACTTGAAATCGCAAGCAAGGGTTGAGATGTTGGTTGATGTTCACAATAGGCTAAGTTAGTCCAATGTTTGGTGACATTCGTCTCTAACATAGTAACAGCTAAAGCAGGGGCTAATCTAAATTACTAAAATAGAAAAATTAAGAGTTCACTATATAAACTAAAGCATTGAAGTCCATAAGAGCTAGACTAGGATCTAGGTTTCCAGCTTTCCACTAAAACTAGACAAACATGGTCTAAGAAAAACCACATTAACGGCCGGTTTGGTTACCAGGTATTAACAATGGTAATGGAATAAACTTGTTAGCAAAGTTAGAAAAAAAAAATCAAAGTAATTAGTTAAGGACGGGTAGGGTCATGTTAAAATCAAATTATGTTGGGTCAATGTTTCTCTATTGATTTGAAATTATGAATTTGAATGATCACAAATATGTTAACATTACGAGTTTGAGTAGATTTTGAATCAGATAAGTTTTGATTTTTAATCCAATTCAGGATAAAATATGTATCACATTTTGTTTAGATAGCAAATAAAGTCTTGGTCAAGGGGAGATGAAAGGAGGGGAAAGCTGAGCTCCATTTTCCCTCTAAATCTCTTCAATTTTGGAGAAATGGTGTTTATTTAAGACTAAAGAGTAGAAAAATGGATCCCTCCTCCTTTCCTTTCCTTCTACCAATCTATAGACTTATACTAAAACAGAGTTTTTTTGAAAGGAATTTTCTCTCCTAAATTCTACATTTGTTATGAAATATTGTGTGGATGCCCATTATACTCCTTGTATCATTTTAGAATATTTTAGATAGAACTAGGGTTTATATTTTTATCTAAGAAAACCCTAATTATATTGTATACAAGTATATATATACCCCATTATATGGAATAGAAATACACTGATATATTCTCTATCAATCTCTCTAATATTTCTCCCTATTTTATAACACGTTATCAGCACCAGCCCTACCTGATTGAGCAAATAAAATTAGTATTATTAAGGTTAGTATTTATTTTAATTTTTCTAATGAAATATAAGCAACGATCACGTAATATATTACAGACATATATGATTGTTTTGGGTCAAGGTGTTTCATCATTAGATGATTATATATTATGGCTTGACTTGTTAATTGTGTGCGTGGGGTCAGTTGATTAATTAATTTATTTATTTATTTAATTTTGTAAATGTATTTTCGTGAAATTGTTCTACAGTTTACCATATCAATCAATAATACAGAGTATATATGCTTGTGATCATGCATGTGATTTTTGTACAACTTCATACCATTAGGTTCTTTATATGGGTTATTTCAAAGTCTTTCATTTAGTTTTTGTTCTACTTCTATTTATACTCTACATCAACCTTTTGCATCTGTTCTTTTTTCTTTGGCCATACTGAAATTATTACATGATTATCATGTTTTGGCAAGCGCTAATTTTTTTACACTTGGTTGAGTTTCCCACAATTAAATAAATTGGGTGTTTGAATTACATCCATTAATGAATATTATTATATTATAATCTCTATTTTGTGATTTATTCTTTATTATGTTGTCTATTATTTGATATTTATGTTTAGAATTCATTCCGTCAATACTGCTATAGAATTTGTTGATCTAAATATCAATCCCTAATCACTGCTATAGAGTATGTGCCAAGTTTATTTTTTTTAGGATATGAATAACATACATTATTATTGAGTAATATGCTTCAATAGGCGTTGGTTAGTGGTCTAATTAGTTCCTTAAGTTTCTGAATTAGTTGCGAGGTTCTAGTATGAGTCAACAATAAGATAAATGTTAGTGGATGTATTTCTTTTAAGCATTTTTCTTTTCTTTGTTAGTGAAGTCATGCTCCTATTATTAAGCATTTAGTTGGCTTAATTTTAGCTTTGTTTGTTTTGTGATATTGGCCTGTATAAGGCACCGAGGTTAACTTAATTAAACATGAAGCATTATCCTTCTTCTACTATATTATACTTTGCTCTGCTACTCTGTATTCCAACAATTATATTTAGGATTAAGCTTTTTTTTTTCATTGAGTTAAATTAATACTTGGTATTAACAAAGATACTTATCTTTTTTGAATTCATTATTAAATAAATTAGTTTGGATGTTATGTTATGATTTTGTATGACTATAATTTTATTATCTTACTAGAATTTATAATATTATCTTTTATAGCAATTTATGTCAAAACTGACAAAACTTGAATTTGAGGCCCTTGATGTCATCAGAATGAACTATTGTTTGATTATATTTAATGATTGCTAGCAATTTGAAGCATATTATATACAATCTTAGTTTTTCATTTTTCTTGGTATGAGGTACATATATTGCAGAAATATACTGCATACTTAGCTACTTGAAGATGATAAATTTAATTAAAGTTTGTATACTAATTTTTAAATGACTAATTCAATTATCTGGTGATTGTGATATTAGTTGTACAATTAGTGAATTTACGTATAAAAGCATGATGTTATATCTTAATGATTACATGAATAATTATTGTTGATCACAAATCATGTTAGTTTTTATTTGAACAGTGAATTTAAACTATAGTCTGTATTGTGATGAGCTAACGCTAATGACTATATCATGGATATCGATAACTTCCTATGATATAGGTAAGACAATAAAGTAGTGTACTACTATTAACTTACATGTTAATTCTTTAAAATGGCATGCATATTCGTCTCAAAATTTATATTATGTTGATAATATTAACTTGGTATCATGATCATATACTAATATCCTTATAAGTTAATAATATTATGAATCATACTATGTATATATATTATGTTGATTGATGTGAGATTAGATGCAATTACTGTATTATGTTCCTACTTGAAAATTGGATTATTGGAATGAAATTAAATTGAAAATGATGTATGGACTTGAAGTTCCTTAATTAATTAAATATATAGCAAAAAGTGTGTTATGAGTTCAAGTAATTAAACATGACATTGTGAGAAACTATACATAATCAACGTTTTATGATGCCCATAAATATAAGAGATTTTGGGTTTTTTTTTAAGATGAATGTAATTGGGCATGAGGAACATGATAAGTGTTTTATAAGTATAATTTTATATAAGCATGTTTTTGCTAAAAAGGAACACGTTACTTGATACATGACATTGCCAAAAGAATTTATGGCTTAAAAGTTGCAAGGATTTTAAAGGTTGTTGGATTGATTCATTCCATACCCCCATATGCAATTATTAGGGGAAGATTGTATGTAATCCTTGCATATAAATAAGAAAATATGTTGATGGTCAGTTTGATACATACAATAACTTAAATATTAACGATTTATTTAATAGAAGTGACCACATGTTAATTAAATATTTTGACATGATACCATCCTGACGATGGATATAAACAAATGACATTTATCATATACTAGTTGTAAATACTCTTATTTAAAATTGATGTCCTAAGAGTACAACATCTATTGTTGATGAACCTATAGCATGTCTGAAGCGTGATACATCAATAGGTTCTAAAGATAATTAAGTATCTTTGAAAAGGAAAGGAGTCACTATTGACAATGACAAATTTGAGGAAGTGGTAAATATCATTACATTTCTAGAAGAAATAACTTTTAGTAAAGTTCATATGTTTCATGATTATATAAAAGACTCTAGAAGAGTATGAAATATCCAACAAGATTAACATGTATCAAGTTTATAGTTTAAACTCTAGTAGAGTATGAGTAATTATTGAATAAAATATTAATTGATTGTCTTGCCAATTGTATAAAGAAACACATGTTGGTTTTCTAATATGACATCACATTCATGGCCATGCATATAGTAAGTTTAATAAAGTGATCACTAGTGTTGAAAACTGACCAGACTTCAAATTTAGAGAAGTGATTGAATGTGATAATTAAATTTGGTCATCCAGGTTTAATAATAATTACCCATAATAGAAACCTGAAGTTTCATTTGATAATATGCTGACGCTTTCTCAATGTTATATATATAAAATGAATTGAATGACAAGACGTAACATTGAGATTGAGTTATATTTGGATTGTGATAATAATTTGTATTGATGAAAAATTAAAGATTTAATATGTTTTGATTTTTTTTATAAAGGAGTTATGGTCGATCAAGGAGTAATGGCTGACCAGAAGTTCACCAAAATAACTTATATATATTATTGTCAACTATCAAGTGATCAGAAGCTCACCAAATACACTATTTAAGTCTTTAAAGATCCAGCAGATCATCACCTACTAGAATTACGAGCAAGTGATTTATGCTTGTATAACAATTATTTTGATTGGGGCTATTATATGTCAGCACATATGAAATAGGAGAAGAAAGAAAAACGTACAACTGCACAACATATGTCTCCCCATTGACATTGATCTCCTGAAGAGAAAATATTATTGAAAATTCAGTAATAAATACACATGAAATATAAAGTTAATGAATAAATGATTATTCATCGAAATTGTTCTCCAGAAGAGATAAATTTTGATTGTGATCCTCCCAATGAAATGAATCTTAATGCAAATTTATATACTAAGTTGGTATAGAATTAGACGCCCCTATAAAAGTGATATTTTACCAACTTAGGGGGAGAAGAAATAGCAAAAGTTGGAAAAATCGAAAAAAATAAAATAAATAAAGAATATTTATGATCCCTATAATGGTAGTTTGAAAAGTTATATATATGCCAAATTTTGTATATATATTATCAAGATATGTTGTACATTTATGATTTGATTTGCATTTAGTTATGACTCATGTTGCATAGCGTTGAAGATACATTTTGGTCATATTAATTATTTGTATACATTGAGATAAAATCTTGCCAATTGTACTTGAATCACTACTCCTGAAGTGTAGGTTGTATATGATCGGTTCCAATATAAAGATATGTTTAATAGATATGATATTTGGCAAGATAGTGCAGTTGACACTAATAGTGTAATAGTAT